TCTCAGTGCTGTGCTTTAACCCGCTGCGCCACAAGGGAGGACCTGAATTGCTTTAATTTTTACTTAAAGCAATCTTAGGGCTGCAAAAAACTGAATTTTGGTACAGAATTCCGATGATTCTCCTCCCATCTCAACACCATTTCCAAATTTATATTATTGTAATAAAGGTGTTATTATAATAACACCATGTAATTAATATTTTGCATTAGTGGTACATGTATTACAACTGATGCGAGATAACTGGGACTGATGGCAAATATCCAGACGTTTTTATTAACTGAAGCTTGTAGTTTACACTAGGCTTCACTTGTATGGTGTACAGTTGTATAGGTTTTAACAAATGCACAGGATTGTAAGACAGTAATGTTGCAGTTTCACTACCCTGAAAGTCCTCTGTGCTTTACCTGGTCATCTTTCTGTCTCAGCTCTACCAATCACTAACCTCTATAGTTTTGCCTTTGCCATAACACCAAATAATTAGAACCATACAGTTTATAGTTTTTTCAGATGGTTTCTTTCACCTCATAGTAAGCATTTAAAATTCCTCTGTGTGGGCCCTCCATGAGGGCATACTGGGTTAAAGCACAGCACTATACAAGCTATATGCACCCACTGACATGAGTTCGATCCCCACCCCGAGCTGACCTACATGGCACAGCAGCCCTCTCCCGTCTCCCTACCGCTACCCTCAGCAGTGTATTCATCAGTCTGCCTGTTCTGCTCCCCACTCTTGTCTCTGGGGAATCCTCTCACCCCTGCACCTCTGGCCTGTACTCCAGCTCTTGTAATCATAAATAAATCTATGAAAAAATAAATTAAATTCCTCTATGTCTTTTCTTAGCTTGACGGCTTATTTCTTTTCAACGCTAAACAATAGCCCACTGTCCGGCCACCCTAGCTTGCTTATACGGACACCTACTGAAGAACATCTTGGCTGCTCCCTGACTTCTTACACTTAGAACACAGCCACAACAACTGAGTTTTCTGAGCAGGGATTTGTGGCAATAGGTTTTCCATTGATGTAGGTAAATTCCCAGGGGCACAACTGCTGGCTTGTAGGGTAACTGCACGTTTAGTGTGGCAGCAGCCCCCACGGCTGTGGACGAAGCTGCTATTGCTCCTCATTCTTGCAGCATTTGGTGTTGCTGTGCTTTGAATAGTTGTACAGTGCTTTCTCATTTTAGTTTGCAATCCCCTAATGAAACACAATGCTGGCCGTCTTCTGCACTTATCTGCCCACCATAGATCTCTTTTGGTGCAGTGTCTGGTCTGTTCATATATTTTGTCCATTTTTTAATAAGGGTTGTTTGTTTTCTTCTTATTGAGTTTAAATGTTTTGTATATTTCGGATACAAATCCTTTATCTGATGCACGTTTGGCGAATAGTTTCACCAGTCTATGGCTTGTCTTTTCATTCTCTTAACAGTGCATTTCACAAGTGGAGTGTCTGAATTTTAATGCCACCTAGCTTACCAATTTCTCTTTTGTGGGTCATGCTTTTGGTGTTTTATCTAAAAACTCATCACCAAATCCAAGGTCACCTAGCTTTTCCCCAGTTATCGAGGAGTGTTATAACTTTGCATTTTAAATTTGATCTTTTTAGCAACTACCCACATTCTCCAAACACCAAACATAAAGGAATCTTTTGGAGAGAGTATGATGACCTCTATTAAGTGATCTCCATGTAGAACTCACAGTTGTGGGTATTTCCCCCCATCAGTGTCATCTAACCTTTCAAAATTAAATACCCAAATGAACTAGGAAATTCCAGAAGGTATTTTTTGGTGTTTTGTTTTTTTTTTTTTCCTATGGAGAATCCAAGAAGTGACTTCTTTTTTAACATTCCTCCGATTTCTTTAACCTCTCTATTTATGGAAAATATATTTATAGCAGTGACATCGCTAAATTCCTCATCGGGAGAAGGAAGGTCTTATCAAAAAGCACAGGCTGGCTTATGTCAAAAGGAGGAAGTGGTGATAAATCGTTACAAAATGCTCTAGAAACAGACACAGTATACACACACACCCCCATCAGAAGGTGTGCCAATTGTTTGTGCCAATTGTTTTTTGATACAAACGGTCCTGACATAAAATCTGCACATCAGTCTATCCTCGATTAACAGGCATAAATTGCTTGCTAACAATTTAAGTATAACTGTACACTGATGAAATGTTGGGGGGGGGAGCAGAATAGAGGATCCCCCTATAATTTAACCAATTTAAGCACAAGAATTTTCTCACCAATTGGTCCTTGTATTGCCTAACTTTCATTTTCCCCTTTCCACCGTAAATAAAGATTCGTATCCCAAGCACCAATATTTTAAAGTCTATCCTGAGTAATTAGTCAGTGACTTCAATCCATGAGTTTCCTGATGCTGGCAAAGGAATTGGATGATAATTTTTCAAAGGTACACTTACCACAGCTAAAACTTTATCTTCCATTTCTGCTATTAGGCAATCCTAAAGGAGGAAAGATGAAAAACACAAATAATGAAAGAGTTTAAAACTTTCAAAAACAGTTAGCTTGGCTCGATAGACTTTTCCCAGCACCCAAGAAGCTTCCTGTCTCTCCCCCCACTACCCTGAAGCCTGAGTGGTTCTGGAAAGACAGAGAGGAGAGGGAGGCCACAGAGTGGGCCCTCCACTCCTTCAGAGCCCTGTCTCCTCCAGATCAAAGTCGCTTATCACCCCCAGGAACCCATATCCACAAACCTACAAAAATCACTGAGCTGAAATCTACCTACTGTCTAGTCTGCACAGAGAGAAGTAAAGCAGAAGTCAAGTGCAAGCAACCTAACAAAGACTCCTAGCCAACAAGCCAGGAGGCTTTAGCTCTGGGCTGGCCTATGAGAATAGCTTTCAAATGAGGGCTTGAGTAAACTTAGCCACAAAAGTTTATTTTAAGCACCACTGAGATTAAATCAGATATTTCAGTCCCTGATAGATAAAAAAGTTCAACAAAACATTCATTAACACACTGCCAAGAAAGTGGTCGTGGGGTATGCTATTGATGACATTAAATAAAGAGCTGGAATGCAAGGCATTATTTACTCAGCTCAGGAACAAAAGGGTAGGAACCCTATGAACCCGGGTGGCTGATTATAGGACTTGCCATTGTCCTGACTAAAAGTGGCCGCAGTGAAACTACCAATGTGAATATCTCACTGTCAACCTTCCAGAACGGTCTATAGGAGGTTTCGATCGACATGCAGAGTCTGTGCAGAAGAAAAGGGACAGGAGACAGTAGGTTTATTCGGTGCCTTTAAGCATAATCCCAAATCAGGGCCCCCCGAAGGAAAATGCCAATTACTTGTGACCATGAAGACTCTTGCTCAACTCTCCGGGAACTGTCAAAGAGTTTCACTCTATTCTAAAGCCATTTGAGGTCACTTCTTACTACAGCTGAGGTGGGGAGTGGAATGGGTACCAATTTCCGCCTCATGAGAGTTTCTGAGCAGCCTTGCAGTGGCTTCTTAAATGTCCTCACAGACTCTCTCCACTAGGAGAAAATGTCAGAAACAACAGTGGTTAACTCCACACGGACAGTGTTTACATAAGCCTCACAGCTGAGAGAAACACCTTTAACACAGAGATTTAGAAAGGTGTCTTTACAGGCAGGCCTCTGGCAAGGAATCCAAAATCCAGGGACAACTGCACAAATACATCCAGCCCCGAAAGTGCTTTTCCTCCTGTAACTTGTGCCTAGAACAACACACCGGTGCCCACGGGCGCTCCTTCCCGCTACCCCCTTCTGAATCACTCAGCACACATCAACTGCAGGTTAACATGTATCACGGGGTCATATACCAGACAGAAAATGGGGCCTCCGTGGTGGCCTGAGGGTTAAGGCTCAGTGCTATCACTACGATGGCCAGGGTTCGATCCCCAGCCAGGGAGAGAGGGAGAGGCCCCCAGGGCGCAGCAGACCCCTCCTGTCTCCCGGCTGCTCCCTTCAGCAGTGTGTTTCAGTCAACCCTCTTGTTCTGCTCCTCACTATGTCTCTGGTGAATCCTCTTACCCTCTGCACCTCTGGCCTGCACCCCAGTTCTTCCCCAAAATAAATAAATATTAAAAAACAAACAAACAGGGGCCCTCCCTGGTGGTGCAGCGGGTTAAAGCACAGCACTAAGAAGCTAAAGCCACTATCGCGTGAGTTCGATCCCCGCCTGCCCCGGAGGTGACCACATGGTGTGGCAGACCTCTCCTGACCCGCCTGCTGCTCCCCTCAGCAGTGGACTTCGTCATCTGCCTGTTCTGCTCTCTGCTCTGTCTCTGGTGAATCCTCTCGCCACCCCTGAGCCTCTGGCCTGTACCCCAGTTCTGTATGTACAAATAAAATAAATCTTTAAAACAAACAAACAAACAAACAAACAAACAAACAGAAAGTGGTGCTTGTGTTGCCAGAGCTCACAGGTGAGAGGCACTCCTGCCTCCCCAAATGGTTCACGTCAGCGGTGAAAGGGCTGTAAACCTGGGTCCCCACCCGACTGGGAGGAAGCAGCTGCAGGCTGACTTCACATCATTTGGCACCAAGGGAACGGATGGAAAACAGTGTGGAAACAGCCCTGAGGGAGCCAGACAAGAGCTAGGCTTCATCACGGTCGTGGTCACCTGGGTCAGCAGGTGGCCAGGTAGTCACCTGTCCCCTATCCAGCCGCCAGCGCAGCTCTCAGGGTCGCCCTTCTGCTGCTCTTCTCATCCTCCCTTCTCACCAGTGCTGAGCTCTATACACGCTCGTTAACCTCCCTGTGCCTGGGCCTCTTGGGAAAGCAAGGGTGATGTCGAAGGGACCAGGTGGGTGAGGAGCCGTGGGGAGGACAGATGCGGC